AAGGCAGAACCCTAAACCCTAAACCCTAAAGTCTCAACCCTAAACCCTAAACCCTAAGTTTTGGGGTGAGAGTTTGTCGGGTCGGAGGGTTGACAGACCCTGGCCACAAGGCCCTAAAACCTTAAACGCTAATGTAGGCGCGAGAGCGTAAACGCTAATGTAGGCCCGCTCCGCCCTTCGCTTTGGCTTCTTGCCTGCTACTGTAAGTGCGGGGCCGTTTTTTGTCAAGGTTCAATGCAAGCTTGCTGCAAGGGTGCAGAGCTGTAGGGAAGGAAACGAAAATCAGCACACTTCTGCAGCCGCCTTTTACGAAGTGTATAGGCATTTTGAAGCCGAGTCAGGGCAGCGGTTGCCAATTTGGGCGCCGGCGACGCACTTTTCCTTGGGACCCTCGATGCGTCCAGGATTGCGACGAGCTTGCGAAGCTTCGGGCTAAAGGTGAGCCGGGTTAGCAAGTTGGCCCTGAACTCAAAAAGCCTGAAGTGCCCCCAAACGTTAAGGGTGTTGAGGAGTGTGCCAAAACGGGTTTAGGGTTCTGAACCCCGTTGCCTTTCTGTTGAGGAGCTGCTTGGACTTTAGATCTTTGGGTTAAGAGTTCAACAGACACGGCTTCAAAAGCTTTGAAATCGGAGGGAACTTCGGTTTAGGGCTTTGAGGGTCGCGAAAGCCTGGGGGTAGAGGAACTAGGATCTAGAGCTGTTCTGGGCAAAGGGTCTCTAGCCTCTAGCATGTTGGAAGAGCATGAGCTGCGTGAAAAGTAGGAGGCAGCACTGGTGATGGTACTGCCCATGGCGATTCAGATGGAGGTATAGTGACCATTTCTACCCACTTGCCGTGTCCTTGAAAAAAAGGAAACCGCAGTATTGAGCAGCGGCTCCTGCTTGAGAGCTCTACGTAACACAGCAGGCAGGAATACAGGCAGAGGCTTTCAGCCCCTGGCCACTGCGAGCCGACTTCCCGACCCGAGACTTCATGTTTGGAGCTTGATACGCATCACGGCATGACTGCTGAACCCTGACCGGCTCAATTCGAAGGGGATTTTGCATGCCTCCGAGTTCCTTTTCCACCAATTCACCTGTGCATCACAGAGCCCTCAATCAAGGGAGATCGTCATGGGCGGAGAAGCACGTACAACTGCAACACAACCTTTACCATGATGGCAACAATAATGCTGAACACCACAACAAAAAATGCTGATAAGAACACGATTATTGAAATATGAAGCCGAAGTCCATCCCTTCCCTCCGCCTGGGCGACTCTCCCTTCTTTGCTGGGTCTCAGAGAGTTCTGACCTCGCCAAGAAATCCGAACTAGGACGGATCTTCTGGAAGCGGCGGGGGCCTCGCCCACTTTGCCGCCGTACTCTTCTTTTTGGCAATCTGCACACACCCCTTTTTGAAAGAGAAGGAGGGAGAGAGAACGGCTCTTAAATGAATATCGGGGCAGAGACCAATCCTTTGTGGAGCCTTCCGAAAGTAAACTGTGCTGAAGACCGGGCTAGTTTTGGGCTTCGGGCTCCTGAGTTTCGAACAGAAATGCTGGTAACATGAGCAAGGGCGATACACACCAGTAGCAACAGTGAGTAACAATGAGGATTTCCGAGCACAAGGGCAGAATAAGCTCGTAGGGACACTCGTGGGGCTCCTTGGTGGAGAGAAACATGCAATGACTGAACAAAATGTGGCGACAACTTCAGCGACAGCTACCACACTCTTTTCGTGTCATAATTTGGCAGGAGTGTTTGGTACTGCTCTTGTGTAGCTTCTTCTTGAGCTGCAACATGGCGGCCACTGTGGCGAGTCTCGCCAGTGCTTCAAGAGAGAATACATCCTTCGAAGCCCACTTTTTCCTGGAGGGGTCGTTGGGGGGGATGCCTTGCTCGGGCCTTGAAGTATCAGGCCATTAAGCCTACTTGAAGGATCATGGGGCTTAGTAAGTAGGGTTATAAGTACCTTAATTGGGGTTAGAAGCATTTATAGCCATAGTAGTTATCAGGCGCGAGTGCGGACGGCCCAACAGCTGACCTGAAACCCGAAAACTTCGAGTTTGTAGTTCGTTTGGGCCAGACGGATTCGCAGTTTGCGCTGAGGGCGTGCTATACTAGAAGAGGGTAGCCGCTACCTTACCTTCTTGGGACGTTTTCGTCCGTCGCCGTGGGGGGGCCGATGGTGCCTCTCCCCATGATCCTCTGGGTGAAGTGTGTCGTACAACAAAACGCTTGGCTTCAAGGAGCCGTGGGCTGCTCGAAGATGGAGGTTTGAGTTTATATGGAATTTCCGAGAATGGGGGTACCCTATTTTGGGGGTCCTTAAAATAAGGCAAATAAGGATCCTACTATTAAGGGTGCCGGGCTGCTTTAAGATGGAGGTTTGGGTTTATATGGGTGGTATTATGGTCCTTTTTGGGTCCCTATTATCGTACGGCACCTAATGTTTAGGGTTCCCCAAAAAGGGACCGCAATGTTGACAACCACCTATTAGGGAGTTTCCGGAACTCAGGGGTACCTTATTTCGGGGTCCTTATGATAAGGATCCTACTACTTAGGGTACTGTATTAGGGTCCCCTATTTTCGGAAACTCCCATATAGCGTTTCGGGTTTGCGGTTTAGGGTTTGGGATTAGGGTTTAAGTTTAAGAGTTTAGGAAACCACACCCTGAGATCCTGTAAAACAATTTTTGCAACTTTACAACAACAAAGAGTCTCGCCTAACCGTAGATGCACCCAGCAGCAGCCCTATTGCAACATCACCGCTACAATTGCAGTGTACAGCGCTTATCGGAACCTACGCCGAACCTATTGAAGGCCTACTCAAAGCCAATGAAAACTTCATAAGATGCATGACGCATCAACGCCGATTAAAAACTCACCACACCCGTTAAAGCCTGATTACTCATCAAATCCTCAACCCTAAAAACCCCAAACCCAAAACCCTAAACCCTAAACCCTCAAGAAAGAAATAAAATAGAAATTGCTTCTCGTTGTTGGCGTTGAGCTCCTTAAACCATCAATTTCAAGCCCAACCCAACCCAAAACTAGGTTCCAGTCACAAAACTCCACCAATTTCAAGTCAGATTCCAGTTACAAAACTCCGCCAAAATGCAAAATCAGGATCCAATCCCCAAACCCAAAATCAGTTTCTAGTCGCAAAACTACGCCAGCTTCGAAAACAGATTCCAGTCGCCGGCCAGCCCAGCATTTCCAAAAGGGGTTAGGAAGTAGGGCTTTTGCACATCAGTGTTTGAGACAACCCAAACCGAAAAGTATTCATCAATAATTTCTTTGGGTTTGTGCTTTGTCTCAAGAAAGAAGCCTCCCCACAGAATCTTTTTAAATGTACTTTGGGTTTTTATTCACTTAATCCAGAACCTTTCAATTTACTTAAACCTCCCCTTTGGGGCTGACCAGCCCCCCAGCCAGCCCCCAGCCCCACCTCCGCCCCACCAGCCCAGCTCCCACAGGAAACCCCAAGCTCCAAATCCCAACCCAGCCCAGCCTCCCGGCTGACCAACTGCAAAACCAAGTTCAAAAAGGAAACCCTGTCAACACGTTTCGGTCCAAACGTTTCGGTCAAAACTTCACCCCCTGCCAGCACCAGCCCCAGCCCACACAACCGGCCCCAGAGCCCCAAATTCAAAACCTGGGGTTAGTCGGAAAAGTTTCGGTCAACACTTTCGCTCGAAACGTTTCGGTCAGAACGTTTCGGTCAAAACGTTTTTGGCACCCAAACCCTCAGCAGTTTCTGTAAAGCCCTAAACCCTAATCCCTGTACGATAAACCCTCAACCTTAAAACCTAAACCATAAACCCTAGTCCCTAAACCTTAAACCTTAAACACCCTAGAAACCTAATCTTCGAGCAGCCCCCGAGCCGCGCAACCACTGCGTGGCACAGGGCGCGAGCGACGTGCAAAGGCCTTCCGGGGCAAAAAGGCTCCCGGAGTTGAGAGGGTAGTCGAGGTTTTGTCTGTTTAAGCTCTAGGGTTTAGAAGGTATACCACAGTATAGGGTTTAGAGGGTAGGGGTAGGGTTTATAGACAAATCTGTAACTAAATAAGGTTTAATATGATTTCCGTCTATGAAACCTTGAGGTAGGTTATTCGGGGTTTAGAAGGTAGGGTAAAAAGCTATAGGGTTTCGGGTTCTGAGATATAGACTGTAGTGTTTGGAGGGTAGGGGTAGGGTTGGGTTTATAAACTATAATCTGTAACAGTAACTTTAGGGTTTAGCACTCAGCGTTTAGAGGGTATAAGGGGCTTACAATCTACGTATAGGGTTGAGGGTTCAGGGTTCAGAGATTATGAGGGTTAGAGTTGTAGCCGCCCCGGAGACAACGAACAGATAAATCGCTTAACGTACCATCTACATGCTAAATGCTTCGTAGGTGCACGTATACTAGCGGAGTGCATATGTACACACATAGACACAAACCTGCCTACATACATGCATGCATTCATACAGGAGTGGACCATGAATCAAAGATGGCAATGGCCAGTACACGGGCAGATGAGGCATGATCATTTTTCATGAAAGACGGCGAGCACAGAACACCGGCATGTTCAGCAACGATTGGGCATGTAAGGGACAACATGACTGAGGCAGACTAGTTGTTGGTGGCTGCAAGAAGAGGCATAATTACACAAACAAAGAGACTTTCTTGAGCCTTCGAGGCTTCCTATTGCCGAACCCCCATACCAACCCTGAGCCCAAATGCCCAAAGTGCCCAAAGGCCGAATGACCAAAAACCGAAGTGAGGGGTTTAGGGTTTAGGGTTTAAACAGCAGCTCTGACATCCGACATCCAGGCGGGCATATACAAGTGCGTGCAAGAGGCTTAAAACCCTAAACCCTAAAATTGCCCTGACTGGGAGGAAAGGGGGGAGCATATGTCTCAGAATATTGCGTGGGAGACTCTGCAGGCGTCCATAAACACTGCAAACCTTAAACCCTAAGCCCTAAGCCCTAAACCCTAAACCCTAAATCCTTCAGCCCTGAACCACAGTGAGGTCGGCACGGTTCTGGGGTTGGAAGCCGAGGCCATGTCGCGTTTGCACTTGGGGGTTGTAGTTGAGGGTTTGGGGTTCAGGGTTTAGGGTTCAGGGTTCAGGGTTCAGGGTTTAGGGTTCAGGGTTTAGGGTTTAGGGTTTAGGGTTTGGGGTTTAGGGTCAGGGGATGGGATTTTGGGTATAGGGGTTTGGGGCTTATGGGTTTCGTTCAGGGTTTAGTTTGCTGGGCTTCGGAGTACCAAACTTTAATACTTTTTGCTTACTGGAACCATTATGGAAAAATGTATACTTTCTTCTCACTGGCTACCTAACAGCACAGTTTAGGGTTTAGGGAAGTTTAAGGCCTGGGGTTTAGGCTTTTGGGGTTTATCCTCCAGGCTCTCTACACGGGTTGGGTATTGACACTGGCAGTATCATAGCCCTAAGCCCGGGGCAGGAGCACTTTGCGATTGTCAGCACCAAACATACGAGAGGGGCATGATAAGAAGCACCTATACCATTTTGGTGGTTCCTTGTTATACGTATAGGATAATGGGCCGCAAACCACAATCCTAATCATTAAGGCCCCTAAATAAATGTCAAGGGGGTTGGGACGCCAGACCCTGGATCCTGAACCAAGCTAAGCCGCGCCTGCAAACTCAAATGGCGCCAGCCAGAAAGTTTGTGAAGGTTCTTGGGAAAGTCAGGAGAAGCCCGCCTAGTTTCGTAAGAAGTGGGAGGAAGAGGCGACCTGTGTGCACCTGAAACCTTAAGTTTGGTTGGGGAGCGACCGGCAGAACGGAGGCAACCTAGAGCCTTCAGTTGCACCTCCCCAGGGACTTCGTGATGCGACGCAGGAGGATAGCGTAAGTGGCAACCACTAGCGGCTTTTGAGGCTGATGGGAAACCCCCTTTGAATTCCGAGCTTCAGCCTTAGCTGCCCACGTTGCTGAGGCTGAAGTCCTTTGCGAGAGATGATCAGACAGCGACAGAAGGGCTCAAAGCTTTAGGCTGTAGGGCTTGCTGTTGGGGGTTCGGTTTGGGGTTCAGGGTTTAGCCCCTAAGCCCTAAACTCTTCTCCCACCCAAGGGACCCTTGGGTTCAGGTTTAAGGCGCTGAACCCTAAACTTTAAACGTTGAGGATTTAGTGTTTAGGGTCTCGTCGCCATGGACGTCGGCAGCCGCACCGTGGAAGTGCAGCAGCTGGTCGGGATGGATCCGGAGAGCTGCTACGATGCATTCTTGCCCCCTGGCTTACCCTTTTAGAGTGGAGTTCAGGGCTCAGGGTTTCGGTTCTAGGGGCTTCGGGGTTAGGGCTTAGGGTAGGATGCGAAGCCCGTGTAGCGTAAGGTAGACGTTAACAGTGGATGGGCGTGCAGTGCCAACAGGATATGTATGCATGCAAGCATGTATGCGTGTATGCTTGTATAGGTTACATTGTGATGTAATGTATGCATTTATGTGTGGTGTGTCCGGGATGCATGTGTAGTACGTACCGTATATAGGTATGGCATGGAATGGGATGGTCTGGTTTGGCATGGTGTGGTGTGGTGAAGTATTGCTTCATGCCACGCCATGCATGGATGTATGTATGCATGCAGGCTCGTATGCAGGTGTGGATGTACGTGTGTATCTATGTATGTATCTATGCATGTATGTATATATGTTTGTATGTATGTATGTATGTATGTATGTATGCTGCGGCTTTGTAGGGTATGTAGGTATATAGGTATGTGCGTGTGTGTGTGTATGTAGGTAGTGAGGTAGGTAGATAGGTCGAGCTGTCCGTCTGAATGTATGTGTCTATGTAGGTAGGTTGGGTGGTACGTATGAAAGTAGTCGATGGTGTGTGCTCGTTTTGAATGTCTATGGAGCCCAGTCTTTGGTTTGAAAACTGAGGAGCAAGGTCTGGAAGGAGGGTGCTGGCCTCGGCACTCCGAAAATACTGCAGGACGGCTTTTCAATGTGTGCGACATGTGACAGTGCCACCCCGCTACGCAGACAATATAGAAGTCATACCAGCGTTGCAATAGCGATGAGGAGGCAAGAGGAAAGTGCTCTTTGTAGCGATATCGCAACATGCAAGCAGTCGAAACTCGGGTTTAGAGTTTAGAGCCATGGCTTGCTGATGCTTGCGGTGCATTCCGGATTAAACCGCCCTCAACCCGAAAACCGCCGTGGGTGGTCAAACGTGAGTCCAGAGGAGGGCGACCCCGTGACCGGCGCCGACTGCGTACGGCAAGTGGCAATGGGTATCGTGGAGTCCCGACGGGCATTGGGCCGCATAATTGCCTACACGACCGCGGGTAACTTCTTGTTCCACAACCCTATTCTAATTATTAAGGCTAGGTTTTTAGGGCTTTCGGAGTGGCGGGGGGTCGGGAGTACAGACAGCGCCAGAGTATACGGCAACAGCAGGAGTGAAGAGGCAAACGGAGCAAGGCATCTCGCCCACTTTACATGACCTAAAGCACACAGCATGTGCAGCACCCCAGGCAGTTGGGTAGAGTGGCTAAAACACCGACAGAATGATGGTCATCACTGCTGGTTGCATCGTTGTCGTCTATCCTCCCGCTCTTGGTCGTTGTGCTCGCGGTCGTAGTTCTCCTTCTCGTCAGTTGCCTTTGCTGTTGCTCTTGCTGTTTCACAAACTGTTGCGGCGATGTCACCGGTTAGCATCACACAGTTATTCGTCTTCTGCCGGTAGATAGATGCTGGCAGTGTCCTCTGATGCTTCTGATGCTTTCACATGTTTGCCTTACATACTTGAACTTCAGTGTTCTTCCTATGCAGCATCGCAGCCCTCATCTTGCCATGTTCAGTCTCCATCGGCATCACCGACATGCACACCGTGTTCGGTGTTGTTACCCAGAATAGTTCACCTAAATTGGAGAAGCCACAACTTTCTGAACTCTAAGCCCTGACCCGTCGTGACCCTGACTGCCCGAGTTGCGAGAGTCCAAACCACAAGCCCTGAGCTTAAACTCCAAGCTGCAGGCCCTGCCACAGCAAACTCAGTGACCCATATCCCTCGCCTGACTTGCTCGAGCGCGAGTGCCAATAAACCCTAAACCGTAAACCCCAAACCCTAAGCCCCCTAAACCCGAAATATGAGAGCCTGGCGAAATGTTCAGACGGCAATATTGGTGGGGGAAGCCCAAACAGTTTTCGGGTAAGACGCCCGAGATCTGAGGTTTAGTTCGTACCGGCGCTGTAAGAAGGAGACGGAACTCCTGAAGTGTGAACGTTTTAGGGTTTAGGGTTTCGGTTTAGAGAGAGAGAGAGAGAGAGAGAGAGAGAGAGAGAGAGAGAGGGTTTCGGTTTAGGGTTTAGGGCTTAGGGTTTAGAGTGCAGGGTGCCCGAGCTTTAATGACTAAACTGTTGACCAGCAACCCTAAACATTTCATCCCCGAGCCCTACACTCGAAACCTACAAAGAAAACAGCCCAAGCCCTAAGCCCTTGAAAGGGTACTGTAGGGGCTTTACTGATTAGAATTATTTTGGAATAGGATATTCAAAATCCTAAACCCCAAACCCTAAAGCCTTCAACCCTAATTAATCTGCGATGCGGGCCTCGTCCTTGCTAAGTAGGAGGGGGAAAACCCTAAAACCCTAAACCCCTAAACCCTAAACACCTGAACACCTAAAGCCCCTAAGGGGGAAAAGCCTTGAAACCCTAAAAACCCCAAAAGCCCTGGCTCCGAGGAGCACATCCTCCAAGGTCAGCGCGGCGACCACTTGGAGCACTTCCGGCTTGTATTGGTAGGGTTTAGGGTTTAGGGTTTAGGGTTTAGGGTTTAGGGTCTCTTCAGTGTTTAGGAGCTGTGTCGTGCAAGAAGGGTTTAGGTCTGAGGGTTTGGGGGTTTTTCAGATAAATCGATGAACAGACAAGAGCGCATGAACTAAGAGGGAGTGTGTGTATGTGCGCACATCTTTTTAGAGAATATTTCTATTTCCATCCATACAGCCCGGTCACCTAATGTCCGTGCCTTTTCGTCTTCGTTTCTGGCACCTCCCGGACCCTTCTGCGGCTTTCGAGTTTGGGGCGTTTTGAAGCCGGCTGTCGGGGCTTGCTTCGGTTTAAGGGCTTTGGGCTTGAGGGTTTGGGAATTGAGCTGCCGCAACATGAAGCTTCGGGCAATGCGGTTGCAGATGCGACAATGCCGGCGTGTACCGACAAGCATCAAAACAGCCGTCAGCCCATGACAGTGCCCATGCCACCACGGGCAAACCCAAACTTGCAGATTCCCTCAGCCATGCGCGGTTTTACGAGAAGTCTGCAATTTGCTCAACCCAGATGAGGTTGTAAGTGGGCTTCTTGGGGTTTGCAGAAGCGCATAGCCCCAATCTGGCCATGAATAGTTGGAATAGACAGGGTTCTGGGATCCGTTTTTTGATTTTCGAAAACTCAGATAGGGACTGTGAGGGGATACAGCTACTAATCCAGCCTGAGATGTGAACCCATAGTCAGGCAAACTTGGCAAGGGGAGCGGCATCCACCGTGAGAACCAACGTCGCTCAATATCCGTGAGGTACAAGATCAACGTTAAACCCGAAACCCTCAAGCCAAGCTAGGTACGTCATCGAAGATGGCCCATGGCCAGTCAGCTACAATCGCGCTCGTGTGGACTTCCGCTCTGCGAATCAGGGCCAAACGTGCGTGACATGGACCCTAGGGGAGCTTGAAATTTTAGGGTTTTTAGGGCGAAAGTTTCGGATTAATTAACGGCGCAGGGCTCAGAGTACATGAAGCCCTTCAGTGCTGGCAAAAAGCAATGTCGGGGAGTTCGCGGTTCAGAGGTGCAGGATTTTGCGCTCACAGCGTCGTACCTCACCAGCAAGGCTACGTGTGCCGGTACCAGGAATCGTATATGGTACCGGTAACGACATGCCACTTGCAACCGACCCCTTGAAGGCACCCTAAACTCCTAACTTTGCATCCCAAGCCTCAGCCTAAACTCCAAAGCCCGAGGGCCCCCAAAATCCGATCCGTCGAGGACCTCGAACTTCACTCCTTCCTTCTACGGGTCGGGCCCCCTCCTGTCTTTCACCATCCGCATCTGGGCTCCTCTTAAGGAAGTTTGGTTTAAGTTACCGTAGTAGGGATCTCTAGTGGCATAGAGCCCGGGTTCAAAAGGGATCTCTAGTAAATGATGTGGCTTCTTAACAAGATCCCAGGCATGTCCTTCCAGACGATGCTGAAGACCTTGGCCGCCGCGTGAGCCTTTTGTGAGCAAAAAAAGGAGATGGGAGCCAGAGCATCCAGAACTCGGAGGTTCATGGGTAGTTATAAGTGGGGTTATAAGTCCCCTAATATGGGTTATGCGTATACTTACCCTACTTATAACCTTACTCATAGCTACCCATGAACCGCCAAGTAGGGTGTTATGTAGGGGCCTTGCAAGTTGGGTTTCGGAGGTTCCTTATTACAAATAGGAGTATGATTTACATCCAAACCCTATTGAAATAATTAAGACTCCTGCACTAGCCGTTTGGAGTTCAGGGTTCAGCGGTTTAGGTTGGGTTTGCTTCCTGGCAGTCCGTGACCGTGACTCCGCACAGTTTTGTGTAGAAGTAGAAATCCGTCTTCCTAAGTTCCGAAGCCCTATCATAGGGGCCAATATAATTATCAATATTATTTTGGGGGCTCCTTATTATAACTGTAGTATAGTGGGCCCCCAAAAACCCTATGCTAATTATATTGAGGCCCCTATAGTAACAAGATGGAATCTTCATCAATCGAAATCCATCACCTCAAGGTGGTCTTTGCCCCGCATGGCTATCAGGTTTGAGGTAGAGACCTTGAAGCCCAGCACTTTCGAAGTCCCTTGCGCGCAGGGTATCGAGACCGAAGAAGACACCGAAGGTGATGACGGCCGGGTGCCCGGAAGAAGGCTTAGGGTTCGAGGGCTCTGTAGCGGGATGCTATACGGAATGCTAGGGTTTAGGCTTAGGGGCTTCGTTGATGCTAGAGGATGAGACTGTTACGCGTCTCACAGCTATTCTTCCGACCTCTTTTATGCCGACTCTTCCGACTACTTACGACTACTTGTGATACTCTGACTACTCTTGCCACGTCGTCTTACTCCAGTTGCTCATCCTCTTGGTCACTGTATCACCACGACGATGCCGGCGGCTACTACGATGACTACTGCTACTGCTACTGATGACCCGAATGCCTGAAGCCACGACAGACAGGGCCCGAAGTCTGGGAACCCCTCTTCCTTCCGCCGGCTTCGTGGCCGCCTGGCTTAGTCTCACCACGTAGCTCCGAACAGCAAGCATCATGGGTCTAGGACGGGGCACAGCGGCCCAGAGATTGCTTCGGGACAAATTCAGATAGGGGACTTTGGCGGAGCCCTCTGAGATTCCCAGATGTTCTCCACTGGAGACCTGAAGCTCCAATTCCTTCTTAAGTGAGATCAATTATTCCAAGATTCAGCCTCAGACTCAGACCTATGGATTCCATGGTCCAAGTTCCTTAGCCTAGCATCCTACGATGATGCAACTGCCAACAATGCTGACAGCAAGCCGTCTGGGAAGAGTCATGTAGATGAGCCTGCGTGTTCCGGAGCATGTCCGGCGGGGAGCGATCCCCGATGGCGACAGAGGCCGGGTTACGATTTTTCTCTTCAGAGTCCCTCCCCAGCAAAAGGTTCATTCGTGGGGACTGCTTCCACTACGAGGAATGGTAAGAAATGGCTGTTGGCATTCTTCGTGCTGTTGCGAAGGGCTTCATGATCACATCTGTAGTGTTGTTGTCATCCTAGAAGTGTCCTTGCCGACTGCCTGCAGAACCAGGTCTTGCGTTGCAAATTGGGCGCTGGATGTCGGTCGTTCTGGGGGGTCCTCTTCCTTCGATTCCCATACTGTCAGGTACCCTGCTAATTGAATCCCAACCGAGCCGCGCTCGTCTTCCTCAGAAGTTCCACACATCTAGTCACCATAATCATTCTTGGAGGTTCATGGGTAGTCATAAGTGGAGTTATACGTCCCCTAATAGGAGTTATAACTATAGTTACCCTACTTCTACCCCTACTTAGAACTACCCATGAACCTCCAAGTAGGGCCAGCCCCTTGGAATGCTCTTGCTATTGCTTGGAGCCCTCGGGACTGAAGAGAGCCCGGGAGCCAACACTTATTGGCTGTAAGCTCAACTTTTCAACTTCTGGGGTTCTTATAAGGTAGTCGGTTCTGAAAGATTCAACTTTCATTTCCTTGGGTTTTGGGCCAGTGAGAACCTCAGTACTTTTCGGCACCAGCCCGAAATCCTCAACCCCAAACTCCAAGCCTTCACCCTTGGCGCTTAACCTTGAAATCCTGACACGCAAACCCTTAAAGAGTCCTAGCCCCTAAACCTTGAATCCTCAAACCTGAATCCTATAAACCCTCAACCCTGAACTCAAACCGCATCCCCCGGCTGAGTCCCATCAATCCCACCCTTCTCGAGGACTTTTCCATGTCGTCCCCGGAGAACGGTTCGCCGCGTACTTCTGCTTTAACTTTGATGCTCCTTTGGGTCTGACTTGGAGGTTCGTGGTTAGATATAACTGGGGTTATAAGTCCCCCTACTATGGGTTATACGTACAGTTACCCTACTTATAACCTTAGGTTAAGTGGGTCTCGGAAGCTCGAAGCCCCAGAGCCCTGCATAGAAACCTGAACCACAACAGGAAGAAAGTGTCCCATTGAGTGGCCCTACACTGGTCAAGAGCCCCCTAACTCAGAAAAGTGGGAGCTGTATTAAGAGCCCAAATATTAATCTTGACGAGCTGTCATGCATCAACAAGACGGATACCACAACGAAGCTTCGAGCTTAAATGGGAGCCATTGATCCGGGTCCAGAGGGATCAGTAGTAGACCGCCGGGAGGACCCACAAAGTAGAGCTCCTACTTTCGGAGCTTATACTGCTAAGCGGTACCCTTGGGAACTCTATCAAGGGATCCACGGGGGTCAAAACGAGCCTTGCTACCTGTACAAATACAGGTGCTGGTTGCAGGGCTCTTCCCGACTCTGGTTCTGACCCAGACCCCTGTGAATACCTTCAGGGGATTTCGAGAAAGCAGCCTGGTCTAGTCCAAAATCTTGAAAAACACCACTGAGCCGCAAACCCGAAGCCTTCAGTAAGAGCCTCAAAAAATGGTAAGAACCTCAGCCCCGAAAATCAGACCCTGAACAACTGGGTTGTCCTTTGGGGTCTTTTTGAATTTTCCTTACTACTCTGTGGAGAACAATAAGGGTAAATAATTCAACTGGCTTAAAGGGCAACTCAGACAACAACTTTGCATCCCAAACCAGAACCCTCAAGAAGCAGCCTTGAGAATCGGGGGCATCTCCTTCAACAGGAAACGTAGCCCCAAAATCCTTTACACCCCAAAACCAAAAAATTCCAAACCTCCCCTTTCCCGCGGATTCATCGGAATAAAAAGCACCCACAAAAAACAACAAAGCCCTCCCTAAAGCTTAAACCCTAAAGCCTCAACCTTGAAACCCTAATCCCTGGCACTAAACCCTAAAGAAGCCCTACAGTCGCAGAGACCAGTCTCAAAGCCCCAGCCCTGAGCTCTAAACCCTAAACCCTAAAAACCTAAAGCCCTAAAGCCCTAAAGCCTAAACCCTAAAGCCACCCCTAAACCCTAAAACACTTAACCCTACAGTCTCAAAGCCCCAAAAAGGACCCTACACCACTAAGGGTACTGTAAAGGAACCCCCATTAAGGGATCTACTTTTTGGATCCTCCCGGGGGTCTGGGAAGCCTCCCAGGCTAAACCCTACTACAGTACCCTAAACCCCAATCCTCCATTCCCTACTAACCAAAGGTAAGAACCCTAAACCCTAAACCCTGAACCCTGAGCCCTAACCAAAGGTAAGAGAAGCCTCCCAGGCATGTGGCGCCTCAGCGACTTCGAGCTCGGCCCCTCCTTGGGCAGAGGCCTCGCAAGGAGACCAGGGCTGAAGGGCCTCTGACTCCCCTTCTTCTCTTTAATGGGAGTTTCCGAAAATTATATAGGGGGTACCTTATTTTGAAGTCTTCATAATAAGGATTCTACTATTTAGGGTACTATATTAAAGTCCACTGTTTTCGGAAACTTCCTCATAATGATATAATGGTCCCTTACAGGGTTCCTTCAAAGGGTTCTTATAAAGGGTTCAGGGCTAGGGTTTAGGGTTTAAGGTTCCTTCAAAGGGTCTTATAAAGGGTCTGTATATAAGGTTCACTATAAGGGCTATTATAAGGATGTAGTAGAAGGGCTTAAATGATTGCCAATACTAATTCTGGGGATCCCTTACTATTGTTTTAGTATGATATACCCAAAACCCAATTCTAAGTACTAAGGCCTTTATGGTATGGTGATAGCTTGTAAGGCCAAGAGGAACAATAAATAATACACACAGGATGGCCAGGCCCAGATAGCTACTATCAGTATGTTGATCATATGCCGTTCGAGTGATAGTTGTTTTTGAATGGGAGATAATGGGAGGTTTAGATTTGTAGGCGTCAGGAGTGCTGACCTTCCGTCCATGTATTCTGCATGTATTCAGGCGATTGCACAAGTCCTGATGCAAAAAAGATTTGTAGGTGTTTTTTTGACAGCCTTCTCCTGTGATGACCGGATCCTTCAGGGTTCTTCATGGCTCTCAGGGCTTGAGAAAGCGCTTCAGGGCAAGAAAGGAATTACAGATGCGGATTTGTGTAGGATTTCGCATCCAGGGAAAGCGATTTAGGACTGACGGCTTCAGCATTCGGGGTTTATTCATGGAGAATAGAATCCTGGACGTACAAGGTTTGGGGGGCGGAACATGGCTGGTGATGGATCTATTTGCTCAAGAGAGGGTCAGGAGACAAACCCAGAACCCGGAAATCTGTCCTAAACCCTCAATCCCTCATGCCTAAGTTTAGGGTTTAGGGTCTAGTAATGCAGGGGCAAAGTAAGCTTTAAGCCTGAAGTCCAAGACCCCACATCCCAAAGCTCCTTTCTCGTGAAGCCCCACAGTGTAAAGCCGCAGCCCCTAAAACCAAGCTGCACAAGCCCCAACACAGTGCCCCAAACGGGACAGCTCTCAATCCCAATAACATCCATGGGAATAGCCATAACAACGCTCATGCTCCAACATCCTGTACAAAAACTTCATGCAAACCCTGACCCAAAGAAAGCTCCACACGAAACCCTAAACCCCCAAACCCCTAGACCCCAAACCCCAAACCCTAAACCCCTTAAGCCCTGACCCCTAAGCCCTCCGGGGGAGTTCAGGCACCTTCGCCCGCGTGCGTCTCGCGCGCGAGAGGCAAACCCTTGCCTTGGCGGCGCTGAAGCAGGCGGAAGCATCAGTCTATACTTTGTTCACAAAGAGAATGATTGCAATAATCATAGCAACCATAGTTAGGGACCCAAAAGGCACATAAGCATAAGCGTGTTATGGGGATATCCTTACCTTATTGGGCTTCGTTATTAGGGGATTTATACGGGATATCACTATCCTAATGTTTGCTTATGGGCTTTTTTGGGGCCCTAAATAGTAAGAATAATAATGTAGTAACAATAACCATAGTAGTAAGAGTCATAGCTTCGGTCGTTTAGGATTGGGGTTCATGGTTGAGGGTTCAGGGTTTAGGGTCTAGGGTTGAGGTTTGGGGGATGTTTGGGTTCAGGGTTTGAGGGCTCTAACTACGGGTTTAGGGTCTGGAGGGGTTTTGGGGAGTCAGGGTGGGGTTTAGGGTGCTGTTATCGTTTTGGTGTTTGCCAGAACGGCTTACCAAGCCTTAAATAAGTAATCCAGCAAGCCTTAAAAAACGAAGCCTTCAAAGCTTATTACAGTATATTAGGTTTGTTGCCGGGTTTGTCCAGCCTCCGGCACACTGATGCAAGTCTCGG